GGGGGTGGGAGGATGGGTTAGCCTGGTGATGGGTATTGAGGAGGGCACATTCTGCATGGAGCACTGGGTGTTATGCACAAACAATGAATCATGAAACACTACATCTAGAACTAATGATGTAATGTATGGGGATTAACATAAGAATAAAAAAAAATTCCTTTAGGGTATAAACAAACCTATTTGCACTTAAATTTCAGATCCTTGTGTGGGACCCATATGCCCCCATACCCATGTATTGCCAACTTTTCCAATCACCTGTTCTCTGGCTTTCTCACTATGAGTCAGGAATAGGAGCTTCCTTCCCCACTGATGTCTTTACCAAATCAATGCATGCTGTTGTTCCAGACTGCTGATATCCTCCTTGCTGACTCTCTGTATGGCTAACCCTTCTCATCCATCCTGTCTCAGCCTATACATCACTTCCTCCAAGAATTCATCCACAACCACCGTATATAAGCAGGTATTTAGCAGAGGAACAATCTCTCCCACTTGTTTCCTTCATAGCATTTATCACAAGGTACATGCTTCCTGACTTTTTCCTTGCTGTCCCTTCTCCTTAGTAAATTGCAAGCTCCATCATGGCAATAAGTATGTGTGTTTCACTTACCAAAGTATATGACTTACAGAGTCTCTGCCATATGGGGGTACTCAGCATATATCTCAAGAACTACTTACTGGCTTACTGGATGAATGAATAAATGTCTCCCATTAGTTTTGAGAGCTAGCTGCTCTTAAAAAAATTAAAGCCTTTATTCAATAAAAGTTTATTTCATGCTCATAATGTAGTTCAATGTGAGTATTCCAGGTCAAGAGATTGTCCTAGGAAACCCCTTTAGCAGAGACTCAGTCTTTTTATCTTGTGCTTGCTCCAACCTCGATTCCCAGAGTCCTATCCATGCAGCTGTGGATGGGAAAGATAGCAGAGGTCAACATAGGAGGGCATTATGGGGTGGACCTGGAAATGTCCCCACTGCCCACATTCCTCTGACCACTCATATCAGATGACCCATCACATGTCCTAGCCTAACTGCAAAGGATGCTGGGAAATGTAGTTGAGCTCTGTGCCTGGGATGTAGGTAAACAACTTGGTAACCAAACTATCCATCTTTGAAGAATAATCTTAATCTCAGGCATATGAATCCCTGTATTGCACCTCAAATTTTGCTACAATTTCTGAGCTACACTTAATCAATACCATATGAATTCATGGTGTGAAGTAAAATTGTCAGGGAATCATTTGGTTATTTCCAATCATTCATTTAAAAAAAAGGGGGGGTAGGGGCACTTGGGTGGCTCAGACAGTTAAGTGTCTGACCCTTGATCTCAGCTCAGGTCTTGATCTCAGGGTGGTGAGTTCAAGCCCTGCTTTGGGCTCCACACTGGGCATGGAACCTACTTAAATAAACAAACAAGCAAACAATAACAAATAAATAAATAAAAATTTAAAAATTTTTAAATTTAAAAAAGGGTGTGAGTGCTCGCTTTGGCAGCACAGATACTAAAATTGAAATGATACAGAGAAGATTAGCATAGCTCCTGTGTAAGGATGACACATAAGGGTGCCTCGGTGGCTCAGATGGTTAAGCGTCTGCCTTCGGCTCAGGGCATGATCTCAGGGTCCTAGGATCGAGCCTCGCGTCGGGCTCCCTGCTCAGCAGGAGGCCTGCTTCTCTCTCTCCCTCTACTACTCCTCCCTGCTTGTACTCTCTCACTCTGTCTGTCGAATAAATAAATAAAATCTTTAAAAAAAAAAAACGGATGACACATAAATTCGTGAAGTGTTCCATATTTTTTAAAATAAATAAATAAATAAATAAAATACATAAATTTAGAAAGGGTGTGAAGGACAAGTCATACAGGTATCCAAACACCTGGATGACAGAAAAAAGAAAAATTCTATTTACACTTTACATTTTGTTCTACAGAACACATAGTAAATGAGGAGAATCCTCCCATTCTTATGTTCCCAACTCTGATCTGGATAATTTACTGACTGTCAATTATGTAACTCTGCAAATGCAAAGTCCCCTACATGCAAAGATTTCTGGTAATAATTTGAGATAATATCCCACAGTAAAAAGTCTTGACATCTAAAGGGGCAGTGGACAAGTGATTTTTTTTTATTCTTTCTGGCAAGGGCAATGACTCTGAGCACTATGATGATAATTAAGACTCCCCCTTAAATTCAGAACAAATAGGAGTAATAAAAGGACAGGAGACAAGGGAAGCTAATGAAAGAGCGCATACGTGGAGCTCAGCAAGCATCCTCAGCAGAAGAGGTATGGGAGTGGCATATTAAGGAGGACCTGGAAACTGAGTAAAGCGTAATAGAATTAACACTATGCTGGGGGAGATATTTGTGCTGGTAAGAGATTCGGGAAAATGTACTCAGACCTTGGAATGTCCCTTCAAGTTTGTGAAGGGCCAGACTGGAAGGGAGCTGAAGCCTCTGTCCACTCCGAGCATGAGCGAGGGCATGATAAGGGATTAGTGCGGCCTGGTGGACCAGTCTGTTCCTCAGGGTCTTCTAATGTTTCGGAATGTTCTGGAAGGAGGTCAACACAGTGGTGCGACCGGGGCCTGACCTCCGTAGATGTCTTCAGCAGTGCCCACTTAACATAGCCATGAAGGAGTGTTCTGTCTCCACCTGGAGCGGCATTCAGGCCAAGACTGCGGTGAGGGCGCTGGGCCGAGCAGGTGATCCCAGCCCAGGCAAGCAGGGGAGAGAACATGGTTGTGAGATGAAATATAAAACACCAGGAAAATCTGAATTCCAGGTAAACAACAATTTTCTTTTTCAGTGTCCCCAGTGTTTCATGGAGCATACTTACACTAAAACACGAGCAAACAAAAACACGATGTGGGTTTGTACATATGTGTGATATGTATATATACATACATGTGTATTGTGTGGGTGTTATATTATTCTGTAAATGTGTGTGTATTCTTGTTAATCTGAACTTCCGATTTTGGAGGTGTCCTGCACTTATATTGGCCGAAGCCGCTAACCCTCAACTAGAAGATACAGAGGATAAGAATTGGACCGTGTCCCTAGAGAGGCCTTCTTCAGGTTAGAAAAACCAGACACAGTAGCAACACACAGAGTCTCACAAGGCTCTCAGCACCTAGACCTAGCGGGCATTCCCTGACTTAACACCCGCACAGCCTAGGTGGCAGCAAGCACATCCCGGTCACGGGCACGGCTCAGAAGTAGAGTATTCTCCCTCTTCGGGCTCTGCTCTGTGAGCATGTTGCTTCACCAGCAGTTACTGTGCATGGACCAGACCCTTCCCACCCAGAAAACAGCACCAAATCCCTCCCCATTGGTAGCGGCCAAGGAATCAAAGGCAGAGAGGTTTAAAAGAAGGAATCCATTTTATTTGGCATGGTACTATTAGCTGTTTCTTACAGGTAGTAAATGTTTCCCTTTCCAATTAAAAATATCACCTCTATAAAACCATCTTGGTAGCTCTAATGATAGAGGTTGTGAGCCCCTGGAGCCCCACATGCATCTGTGAAAGGTAATTCTCCACAGACACTGTGGGGTTTCATGGGGTGAAACCTTTGGGGTATGACTCGGCCCCTTTCATTAATAGTCTATTACAGACTTTCTCTGAGAGCTGAATTATAGGGATGCAGTTACTAAACTCACAAAATGTGTGGTGGCAGAAATTAACCCAAGAGCTTTAAATTATATCAATTTCTTGATGGATCACTAATCTACTTTTTGGACTTCTTATTGGAATTTTAAAATAGTCCCCTCTTTGGTCTTTTCCATAATCTCATATATCAGCCACTTTCCCCCGACTGTGACTTCCTTACAGTAAAGTTATCAGGGTAAGACCCATTAACAACAAATGGATTGAAGCCGGACTCCTGGGTGTTCGATGAGATACACAACAGTAGCACAGAAATGCGAAGACTGGAGAGGAATGAGTTGGCTTTGGTGGGCAGAGATGCTGTAGGGCAAGGCCATGCATGGTGGCTGCTGGTCCCAGGACTAACTGTGGAGAGAATTTGGAGCACATGAGCCCATAGGGGACATATAGAGACTTACAAGTGTGGGGTTTCCCGCAGGGTCAGTGAGGTCAGACTAAATTGTACAAAGATGAACCAATATTACAAACAACTGGAATCTGCTCAGATATGGTCTGAATATGTATCTAAATATAACATAAAATTTATCATAGGTTTGATCTCTATTTCTATATATTGATTGATAGACATATTGTGGCAGCTTCTGTGAATGCTCAACCTACGTCTCTTCAGCAAATATCATCCCGGACCTCTGAAGGCGTCCTAATGTAAGTACCTATCACCTTCCACATGGGGCTTTCTCTCACTGGGTACCAGCGAACTGGCAGTCCCCATTTCCCATTCCACCCACCTCCCCTCTGGCAACCACCAGTTTGTTCTCTGTAGTTAAGAGTCTGATTTTTTTGTCTGTTTGCCTGTTTTTGTTTGTTTTGTTTCTTAAATTCCACATATGAGTGAAATCATATAGTACTTGTGTACATTATACCCTCTAGATCCATCTATGTTGTTGCAAATTATAAGATTTCCTTCTTTTTTATGACCGAGTAATATTCCTGTGTGTGTATATGGGTGTGTGTGTGCATGTGTGCGCGCACAAAAATCACATCTTCCTTGTGCACTCATTTATGGATGGACTCTGGGTTTGAGGCATCTTTGATGCTGCTTCCCACAGGTTCCAACAGGACTGACTGCAGCCCACACAGAGCTCTTGCTCATTAGCACCTGCATCGGCTTTCTCCTCTACCTGCTATCACTTCTCTCCTACCGATGTTTCCAGGGTCACCTTCCAAATAAATCGCTTGTCTCAATTCCTTGTTTAGGAATTGCTTTTGAGAATTCAGACAAACACAGAAAACCATGCTCATGTCTGTCTGTCTACCTGTCTCTTTTCTAGATTACCCGTAAAGTGGTCAAATCTTTAAATGTTAACATGCCTTAAGGTATGTTATCCTCATTTATGTCCATCTGATTACATCACTTTAACTCTCAATTTTATAGAAAAGGCAGTTATTTGACACTTACGCATTCATGAGAGCTCAGAGCCACGATGTCTACTACATTGTGTACTTCCCCTGAAATTAGGGTTGCCAGGTGTGGCAAATAAAATATATATACCACCAGTTAAACTTGAATTTCATGTAACCAATGATTTTTGTTTGTTTGTTTTAAGTATTTCCCATTCAATATTTGGGAAATACTTATTCAAATATATTCATCAAATATATGTTCATCTCAAATTCAAATTTTTTGGGGTGTCCTGTATTTTATTTGACAGTCCTAACTGGATGAATATTAGAAACCTGAGACTCCATAGTCTCAAAAATCCTTTCCTATCACTCAAAATAGTCTTTCTACCTCTTTAGACTTATTCACTTTTCCACCATCACCTCAGTTTCCCAGGGTGGAAACTGAGGTCACCTGCTCTGTTTGGTCCAGGATCCCATGTAAGGGTATCATCCCTCCCTACCAGCCGTTCACCCAACCCAGGGCCCAGGATTTTGCATACAGAAGGTAAACTGATCCACTGCACAATCCACTGATTAACTAAGGTTTTGGACCCACCCTCAATAAGTCCTCCCATCCCCTGAGCCACACTAGATCACCCTTTAGCTGGTTTAATGAGTGTAAAGTCTAGAATCCCATTTTTCAAGCCTCCTTTTTATAGACCCACCCTACTTCTCTGCTTGATGATTTAAGGAATAAGGCCAACATTGCTTCTTTTAAAGCCAGAGAGTCCAGGTCCACCTGCAGCTCCTACAATCTGAGAAAATGCAAATTTATTCAGAAGAGAGGATTACCATGAATGAGAGCCATATGGAAAAGCAACTTTAAAATATTTTTTCTTAATCTTGAAAACCATCACTGGGTTTGGACTAATTGGGTATCCAAGTATTTCATTATGATGGCAGACAGAATTTCTACATCTTTTTTAAGATTTATTTTTATTTTTATTTATTTGAGAGAGAGAGAGAGAAAGCACGAGTGGGGGGGAGGGGCAAAAGGAGAGGGAAGAGTAGACTCCCTGCTGAGCGTGGAGCCTGATGAAAGACTGGATCCCAGGACCCTGAGATCATGACCTGAGCCTAAGGCAGACACTTAACCGACTGAGGCACCCAGGTGCCCCAGAATTTCTACTTTTTGATCATGGAAGGAAGTAGTTGAAGGAGAGAAAAGCAATCAGTTTTCTTTCTCAGAGGCTGAAGTGAAATCTCATGAAACCTCACATTCAAAGTCACCAAAACTTTACTCTTACACGTAAGGGCAGTGAGTACGGCTTGTCTATCACTCTACCACACAGGGCAGCCAGCAGAGACAGGGGGATGCATAAATTTTTGCTTAAGGAATTGTTCAGCTCTAGTTGCTAAACTTGAAGAGGGCCATTGGCCATCTGGACCATGTCCAGAGGAGATCAACCAGCATGCTGAATGATCTAGAAACAGTTCCAGGTGATGGACCTGGGGATATTTAACTTGGTGAAGAGAAAGCACAGGGAGACATAAGAGTGATACACAGATATCTGAAGGACTGCTGTATATATATATATAT